ACCCCATTACAATCGAGATTGCCTTGGTAAATTGGTGGCTGATGCTTTCGTGCCGCTGTTGGCAGAGAAGCGAGCGCGTCGATGCGAGCCTCGCTAACAGCGTACTGCTGCTGCATCATAGCTTGAAATTCCGTCTGCTGACGTGCGAAGAGCTGAAGAATTCCCCGAAGGTCTGCGGAGTGGTGGTCTGTTCCATCACTGTGATGCAGATCTTGAAATAGTATCGGCACGATGGTCGAAGTAGGAGAAGTCGAAGCTTGGACTCTCCAAGGGCTACTATGTAACGTAGAGGAAGCTTGTGTTCCAGGATGCAAATTGGAAAGTGATATTAGTAAATTAAAAGTCTGCACTCTTTTGTGTCTAGACTATCTACTAGCCACTCATTGCTAAATGTAAATTAGTTTACGAACGTTCCGTAAACTAACCTGTAACTCGTCCCGTAAACCGTACCATAATCCTAAAGATTTAAATAATACAATCAATGCGGATGCGTTACAAGAGGTTACAGGTCTGCGGAGTGCACTGCCCGTGGAAGTTTATTCTTGTTGTAAGCAGGCCTGTCAATACTGGATAGAAACCATTTACAAGTTGTCGCTAGGACTGTAGCAATGCTAACAGTAAGTTAGAACGAAATTTCAGAGCTTTCCCATGTAAGGCACCGCATTAGTATTATTTTGGCGATGCCCTGGTGTACTCCTCAGAGCATTTGCTTCGAATAAGAAAGTGGCAGAGAAATCATGCGACGATAAAGAAGACTAAGTTCTCGAGCTATCAAAAAGGCTGGAACGAATTTAACCAGGAGTCACCGACCAGATCTGGGGGGAAATAGCTATGTAATTGTAAGATTTGGGTAAATTTTGGTTGCAATAATTACCTGGTGGCTTAGCACAATCCACAATATGATTATCAATAGTGACCATCACAGATTTTGTAGATTTTCACAAACAATAGCCAAAATCTACAAAATAACATTTTTGTTGTCCACAAACGAAGAGATCTTTAGGGGCGCGAAAATGAAGAAGCCGACTCCGTTCCAACCCTCGCACGCTCTCGCGTATGATGTGGAGGTCGTTGCGACAGCGTCCAACGGCGACGTGACCTGCCGGTGCAAGTTCTGCCTGTACGAGGGTCGAGACGTGGTGGACGTTGGCGTTTCGGGACGCAATCGCAAGCAACGCGGTGACATCAAGTACTTCAATAAGCCGTTCGTCCCCCACGAGTACCGTAGCCACCACGTTGGCCAGCACGCGGCGTCCTGGACGCGCTATCAAACGCTGTCAGCGGACGAAAAGAAATCATTCTTTGATGGCAAGACAAAGACCACCAATTTGCTGCATCAGCACTTTGACCTTGCCACGGACAAACAAGAGTTCATCATCAGCGCAAGCATTGTTGAAACGATTGTCGGTGACCTGTTCTTTCGTGGTGGTGATGAACTGGAGACCAGCAGTGACGCTGAGAGTGATGAGGACGTAAATGTTGCCGACGCGATAGCCCGGAAGGCCAGCGAGCAGGCAAAGAATAGGGTCAACGCGATGAAGCTGTTCATTTTATAGGAGGACACGCCTGCGCTTTATTCTGTGACGATCAAGAATTTCATGCGCTTCCAGCTAGCAATGGACCATGTATCAATCCGCATGTCGTTCCGTCAGACTGCTGCTGCCATTCAGCACGCCAAGGACCATACCAAGATGGGCAAGTTGTCGGGAGTTAATGATCAGGTTCTTGACCAGTATACTCGCGTCCAAGTTGCTGTGACGTTGGAGCAGATCACACATATCCTTGGTGACGAGTCTGTTGGGCGCTGTAGCTTGCTGGAGATGTCAGCACGCACCGTGGGCAGTCATTTTTCGACCTCCGCGTGCGTGTTTGCTTTCGTGGATCTCTCGTCAATCTGCACCTAGTTGCAATCCCACTGTTCGATCGGCACACTTCACAGAATATATTTGCGGTGATCAGCAAAATCCTGGGCGCGTTGTACAGCAACTGGCGCGCTAAGTTAATTGGGATGGCTTCAGACGGCGAGAACACCATGACTGGTAGACACACCGGAGTTGCCACCCGCATTGTCGCGTGCGCCGAGAACAAGGTACTGCGTATCTGGTGTGCACCGCATCAAATTGACATTGTTGTCAAATCCTCGGCCAAGGGCATTGAGGATGGCCATTGGATCAAGTTCGTGAACGCATTCTCGGTAATCCTGCGCAGTCAGGACAACCTGATCATCAGTATGAACGTAACGTGCCCTATGAAGACGAATCGTTGGGTCCACCTCGGGCGGTTGCTCACAGCTTGCTTCAAACCGTAGAGAGCCTTTTTCAGCTGGCACTCATACGCTTTATTCTCGATGCCAACGGGCACCTCCATGTAGACACAGTCCTTCAGCTCACTGTTGAGAAACGCTGTACTGGTTCAATCCGGAACTCATAGACAGCGCAGACCTAGAGCACGAGTCGGATCGAGTTCATGTTCGCCACCGGAGAGCACGTTTCAAAGAAGTCTATACCGTACTTCTGCTTGACACCCTTGGTCACTAGCCGTGCCTTGCAGCGTACCACGTGGCCGTGCTGGTCACGCTTCTTGGCGAAGAACCACCTGACGGTTAGCCGTTCCTCGTGGCACCAGTGTCCAGGTACCGTTCCGTTCATGAGAGAGCAGCTCCGCGTCCATGGCCTCGCGCCATCGAGTAGCCACGTCACTAGCCATCGCCTGAGCGTACGTCGTCGGTAAATCCTCTGCGTCTTCGATGCTTGCAGCGTACGCTAAAACGGCTTCAGCGAGAAGCCCGTCCTCATCGACCCTGGTACGCTTCAGGGAAGGCGGTCCATCACTGCCTTCAGACTTCCGTTCCTCAGCGGCCGTTCCATCTTCAAGAAGGAACACTGGCTCACGAGCACGTCTGGAACGGTCGGTCGGAGATTGGAACATCACTTGACCGTTCTCAAACACAGTCTGTGGTGCAAGCCAGTTTGGGGCAGGTCGTTCTTCTGCCAACAGCAGCGGTGGAGCTGGGTCCTGCTCCGGTTCGACGCTATCCATGTTCACGTCCGGCGCGTCGTTCTCGACACCTTCCATAGGCTACTTCATAATAGGCTGGTTTTGGCAGAATTTTACGACGTGTCATTACGGCACTAAGTGAAGAAGAATTGTGTTTGTTGAGCTGTAACCATAAGACATCGGTACTCATAACCTTAGTAAAGGCAGCAGTTCATACGCATTAGGACAAGTCAACGGGCCAACACCTGTATCAGTTTATCTCCGAATGGGCCAGAGTCTCGGGAAGTTGAAACACCGGTACATTCATTTTGGCGAGGGAGCTGACCAATTGTGGGGTAGAATGATAGCAGGATTACCATTTGACTCTGAGCGCTTTGGCGTCTTACCTCCACATTTCCGCCGGAATTGCTATCACAGATGATGGTAGATTACTGGAAGCAAATTGTAAGTGGCTTTAGTAACTACCCTAAAGATATTCAAGCAGCTTTTCCTTTTATTTTGGCGTCCATCATTCATCACAAAAGCTACCTCCGTCGTACACTTAATGCCTCGCACCCAATATTTACTGCACGAGTGTTTTCGGCCAACTCGCTGATTGATAAGTTACGTGGAGTAACGGTTCTTGTGATAGGCGCGTCGCCTGCGTGTGGAATGAAGGCGCCAGGAATCCAAGCCCACCTTGCTGTAGCAAAGCAGGTAAATGAGCTACGCAGAGAAGTAACCAGTCTTCACAAAGAAATAGATGGTCTGAAGACAGAACTGGCAGAAAACTTGTCAAACCAAGTTGCAGTGAAAGTGGTAAGTGAAGTTCGACAGCATTTTGTAGTTAATGGAGTTGCCTCCGTGTCCTTGCGCGATGTCGACATGAGAATGGGCGATTTACGCTCTACTATGGCCACAGAATTTCGTAGTATTTTGAACGACATGAACTTGACTCATACAACTACCCTCAGCAGCACGTCCAGTGAGTAGCAGCCGGAATGGCAATCGTGGTCATGGAATGACGGTAAGTTGCTCCATGCTGTCCCAAAAAAAAAAAATGGGAATTCCGGGCACGCGCTAACGCCAAAGCGATTTGGAACCTCTGGTTCGTCGGTGATCGCGACTCCAAAATTCGACCGTACCGACTCCTAAACAAGCAACATGACATTAGTACGGCGCATCGAATGATACACTCGCGAGTAAGCATTTTGATGGAGTACCTGGAGCAGCTCGCACATGAGATCAACATGCTGCCCAGTGGAGTAAGCAGGATTGCGGATCTCCCAATCTCGACTGCCGATGAAGTGTTTGCTGCAGTATTCTCGAGAATGCTCAACAATCTGTGTGTCAATAAGCCCAGCAGAGCCGAAGAGCTGTCATGCGGCACACTATACAATCGTCTCTGTCAGTATCGTAAAAAAAAATTAGCAACGGAGTAAATGCTTCGAACAGCATCTGACAGCGTTTTAGCTTTACCCACTCTAGCTCAACCTCGTGAGAGCACATAGACACAAGGAGCCTGCACTTGAGAGGCGACACCCTGCAGCGAATCTCCAATTTGGCCTTGGTGTCGAGCAGAAAGCACCCCAGCTTAAATCGACGCAGCAGCAGCGTGTCTAGCACTTGTGTAGTAGATAGTGTCTTGGTGAATGAGAAGCTGTTTGGTCGACCAATCACAACACGCCATCACATTGTGATCTGATTCCTATCACAAATGCCGTCATTATATACATTTTTGTTTTAAATAAATATAAATTTGAGGAATTGCAGGAATTGTTGCATTTAAAAAAATATTGTTTCATTCACATTAATCGTACAAATCTGATGTGGCAATTTCCAATCTTCACTCATCTAAATTTGTAATTTCCACTATCTCCTTACATTCTTTAAGTGACTGCACCGTGCGTCCTCACCAAGCAAATTGACACAATGCGGTCGCACCTCGTCCGCTGCGCTCTTCGCGTTGCAACAGCGTCCACGCCGCGCGTTCTGGCCACACACTCTCGTCTGCACGTTATCAAACCCGTTGCCTCTTGTCTGGGTCCGCTTCAAAGTGTCTCAATCCGTGCGTTCTCGCAGTCTCGCGACGACAATGACACCGACGCGGCTGAGACGGAGGCCTCTCAATACTTGGGCGTCGTGTACGACGCCACCAAGGTGAAGAAATACAGCGCCGAGCTCGAGATCGAAGGCCACATCATCAGTGGCGGCGATTACTGGACAGCACTGGACGCTGCCAAAGCCTACGACGAGCTAGTGACGCTGTACTGCGACTTGGACGAGCCTCGCAACTTTTCCGAGGGCGACACGACCGAAAATAGTCCAGAAAACGTCGATGAAATGGAATGGGAGGCCCCTGAGGCCGGCAATCGCCACGCAGATATCATCCCAGCCATTCCTCAGACCTATTTGACGATCGACGAGGTGCAACAGGCTCTGGAACGCGAGAAAGCGATCGACGTGTACACTGTCGACCTGGCTGGGAAGAGCAGCCTGGCCGACTTTATGGTGTTCGCCACTGGGCGATCGCAGGCGCACATGCGACGCATGGCCGACCTGTTGATCAAGTCCATGAAAGCGCGAGAGCTCGTGGACGACTTCGACTACGCAGTGGAAGGACGAGACTGCGACGACTGGATGATCGCAGACTGCAACAACATTGTGGTGCACTTGATGCGAGCCGATACGCGTCGGATCTTGAATCTGGAAGACCACTGGGAAAACATGGTGGACGACAAGCACAGTGTGTATGGAGACATGAGCGAGGACGAATACATGGACAAGTTCGGCACCAGCGAACTCATGGAATACCTGGAGGACGAAGACCATCAGCATGGGGACGAAGACGGAGAAGGATCAGGCATTGAGTGGAAGTAAGAACAGAGTCGATAAACTGTTGCAGTCATTAAACATGACAGCTTTTTAGGACCGTCAAAGTTATACACTTTTTTTTAAGGAAAATGTTTTTATCCATTACTGGTTTCAATAAATACCCCTGCTGTCTCCACGATGTCCCCAATCTACACATAATTCATCGCGTGAGTGCTTGTCACCAGATTTAATTTCCATCCAAGAGCGAAAGTTTGGACCACATTTGAGCACCGATAGTCAAAAGCTTCCAGATGTGGGTTACCAAAGCAAAACAGAAGTGAGTAGGTAGCAAACAGTCGTCGATAAAGGAGTCATGAGTCCATAATCGACCACCAAGTGCATACCATACTCACAACCTTACGCAAAAGAGCGCCAGGATCTACAGTCGTTAACGAGGGTAATGAGCCCCGATCAACTGAGCCTGCTGACGTCTCCGAGAAAGGTCTGTCTTGCCTTAACAACCACGTCCAGAAGCCTTTTAACCGTTGATATCCCACGAAATAGCGCAACAGAGAGTAATGAGTCTCCGTAGTCGCCAAAGAAAGGAGAGTAGTGAGTCTCCTTGCCTTTGAAAAATGGGTCCAAATGTACGATAGAGATGTAGAAATGAATACATCTCATCGTATCGTCTCAAAAAAACTCCCGCTCTACCACCTTTTAGTGGCATCTGCAATGCACGAGTCCAGTTTTCTTCGCAATCCATTGAGTTCTCTTTCCAGTCGTCCCGTGGGGTTTGTTCTTGCTGCATTAGTCCTTGGACTCACGTCGATATCGTCACTCTCTCTGCTTCTGCTGCTAATCCGCCGTCCTGTTATATGCCGCAGACTGCGCATACTTCGCAGACTTCCACTGCTGTTAAAACTGTTGTTATCCGACGTTGTAGGCGTCGTAGTCGCCACTGAAGGAGGGCGTTTGTATGGCGCTGAACGTGCTGATCGTGGAGAAATCTCAGGCGACGATGACGTCGGCGACGTCCCCGTTCGAGACGCCCCCATCCTCTTGCTCTTGTACGTGACAGTAGCAGCTTTAATCTCCTCTGGCAGTGTCAACTCCCTCTTCCTCCGTGGCTTTGCCGACTCTGTAGTCTTGGAGCTTTCCGAGCTTCCGCTGCTCTCACTCTGTCGCTCTTGTAGCCTCACTAGAGCCTCAGTTAAGTATTTATTCTGTGCTCTCTTCTCCTGATATCTCTTCTTGTACTGCGCTAGCTGCGTCTCCACGTCCTGTACACTCTGGTGCTTCTCCTTAACCACCACCATAAGTCGCTGTTCGAAGCTGTTGCTAGTGGCCACTGCGGTCTCCACACGACGTTGCAGAGCTTTCATCTCCCTCCTCAGCGTCTTGTTCTGTTCGTGGTATTGCATACTCTCCGCTTTGGCCTCTGCGAGCTGTCTAGTCAGTCTGTCTCGGTCCTGTTTGCCTGCTTCGTCGTATCTCGTCCAGTAGTCCTGTTCTTGCTGCAGAAGGCTTTTAAGCGCCGAAACTTCGAGCGTAAGCGCCTGTTCCCTGTCTTTCGCTTCTCGCTGAGCCTTGGCAGCGTCCGCGGCCTGTGTGTCGAGTTGTTTTTGTAGTTGCGTGACGGTCTGGGCGGCCTCCTGCGTCCACTCGCTCTGCTGCTGCTTAGTCTGCGCCAACTCGCTGCTCAGCAGTGTATTGTGGCGCGTAAGGGCCGCTACTTGCTTCTCCAGCGCCGCTACAGCGCGTGAGAACTCACTCTGCATCTGCGCCAGCACTTGGCGGTAGTACGCGTCATCCGCCATGAGCCTTCGAGTAGTGGAGGGGGAGGTGGACGGGTCCCAGACTTTGTGGAGGGTTTTTCGAAACTGGGCGGGAAAATTTAGGCGCGAAAAAACTGGCGTTTGTTATTTTCGGGTTTTTGATTTGAAATCACGAAAAGAAGGGATCGTGACTATTTTCGGTTTTTTGAGTAGATATTATTTTCGTAAAAAGATCACGATGGGACGGATGAAGCTGTATGCTGCGCTGGCGGCGCTGAGAGTGGCGGGCAGCGTGCTGTTGCTGGGCATGGTGCACCCGGACGAGTTCTTTCAGAGCCAGGAGGTCATGGCACGGCATTTCTTACCCGAAGACTCGGTTTTACGCCGCGAATTGTTCGTGCCCTGGGAATTCCAACTGCCGAATCCCAACCGCTCCGTCCTGTTTCCGTAAGATTCACAATTTTCCTATTTATTTTATCAAAATAATATCTTGATATATTTTACATTTTGTAGTGCGCTGGCGGCAAGGCTGCCGTACAAAATCATGGAGCTACTGGGAATAAAGCTGACGGGGTGGCTGATGCTGGTCACGCCGAGACTGTTGCTGTGTCTGCTGTCATTTATCGTTGACGCTGTTTTGTACCAAGTCGTGGGGAAATTAAGTCGACACCAGAAAGTGGAGATTCAACGAGAGAAACAGGAAAAAGCGCTGCTGTTATTTGCCAGTTCGTGGCCGACGCTGGTATTTTTGGTCCGACCTTTTTCCAACACGTTCGAGACGCTAATTCTCGCTCTGTGTTTCGCTGTGTTATTTCTCGTTAATCCGGTACGTAAATTATTTTATTTTATATTTTGATAAATTTACTAATTTTATTGTTCAGCATCGACGTGTTTTGTGCGGATTAATGCACGTCCAAACATTTCTTCTTGGGAGTTTATTGGCGATTGGATTCTTTACGCGGTTTACGTTTCCAGTTTTCTTCTTCCCACTTGGAGTGGAACTTGTGCGTCAACAAGACGCTCTGGTGGTTGTAGCAGCACGGAAGAAGGACGTTTCGATGTCGCCTTCTATTGCACGTCGCTTAGCAGCAACAATTGCTGTAGCGATGCAAGGGTTCGTTGCGTTCGTGGTTTGGTCAGCGTTGCTTATTTTCGTGGATACGCTGTATTTTCGTCCGGAACTTTTTGAAGGTGAATTAGACCGAATTTTTCTGGAGAAAATTGCTGCAAATGCTGTGATAGCGCCTCTGAATAATCTTCTATACAACGTCCAATACGACAACTTGGAGCTACACGGTGTACATCCCCGGCTCACTCATCTGACTGTCAATATGCCGATGCTGTTTGGTCCAGTGTTTCTCGTCTTCCTGGTGAAGTTTTTCCGGTATCCTGACCACTCGTTCTTCGGTAGTGCGTGTGTGTTTTTCCCGTTGCTTTGCTTGTCACTAGCTCCGCACCAAGAGCCAAGATTTTTGCTGCCTGCTATCGTACCGTTGCACTTGTTCACAGCTCTGCGTGGCAGAATTGGGATTGTTCGTTTCCTGACAAAGAACAGACTGGGGAAACTAGTGTGGATTGTTCTTAACGTTGTTTTAACGCTGTTCTTCGGTGTTTTACACCAAGGAGGAGTCGTACCGATGCTCCTATCACTGTCTTCTTTCGCTTCGAATCCAGTGGAGAATATCTCGACCACTTGGCTGCCATCGTATTGTAATTTTGACGGAATGGACAATATTTCTTTGGGGATGGTTGGTACAGTGTCATTGGTATTTGCCAAGACGTACATGCCGCCTCGCTTTCTACTTAGTGGGATGACTGTAAAGTCTTCATTTCAAGTGGTTGATGTGGCTGGCAACTCTGCTGCTGGTCTGTCAGAGTTGCTGGGTTTAGACGTGCCAGTATCTGCAGCATTCTTAGTGTTACCAGCAAGCGTCGAGGTCAGGGATGTTGTACCTTTTTCTTCTGGTTTGAGCACATCAAAGTTGGGACGTTGTTTTCCTCACATTTCAACTGAAGATCTCTCATTTGAACAATTTTCGCTGGATTTATACTTGGTACAACGGACTCCAGGGGAGGCTTTGTAAGGAGTCATCATGTTACTAAACTATTGCGAGGGAATTAACAGGAAACGTTAACTCACATATCCTACAAGAACCAGCTACATTTATTTAGCTGAATCGGCCTCTTTTTCTCTAAGAGCGTTGGGAAAAAAAGTAGCACGAAAGACAATAACTTTTTTTGTAAAGGTTTTTGGAATGCTTTAGAATTACTTAGAAGTGCTACGCAAAAATTGCCAAAGATTGCCTAGTACATCTAAGAAATTGATCAGTACTCAAGTTTATAGTCAAGTTGACAGGGTTTTTTTTCTCACCCCTTCTCAGTTTTGATCTACCAGACCCATTTCGCTAGCGCGCCTCTTTCTTAATGCCGGAAGGCACCACACACAACTCTCACAAATCGAAGAATCTTCAATCCACCGCAACATGCTGCTAGATGCATGCTGGATAGCATCACGAATAGTCTCCCTCGAATTCTCATCTTCAATCCGCGTCCCCACAAGAATATGCCACACTAAGTTTCGGTTGCTGCTCTGCAGTGCCTCACGCACGAGTAGCACCCGTACAGACTCAGACACCATCGGAACGATCTCTTCATGATGGTACTTGCCTGTCAATACAAGTGCAGCGTCGAAATCGAGAGGTGGCCCATGTTCTACGAGCCAGCGCAGCAACGACACGTTATCATTTCTTCCAGCTTCCTCTATCAGGTTTAGAGAAGTTATCTTGAATCCACGTTTTGAAAGCCACCGAGCAGCATCGAGCTGGCCTTTTTGGACCGCCAACTCGAGCAGATCGGGGTCTTGTAGTTCGAATTGGTTTGAATAAAACCATTGCAACAGCTGTACGTTACCTCTAGCGACAGCATCGCGGATGGGGATCGTTGTACGCAATTCAAGTCCCAACTGATTCAGCCAATCCAAAATCTCGATATTGCCTTCACAAGTTGCAATTTGTGCGAGGCATCTCAAACAATCCTTCACGAAAGCGGGTCGCTTGTTGTAAGCTGACTGCAACACTATCATCGGTTCATGGACCCTGTGGCTCCGGTCTGTCTTCAGTGATAACGGACGGCTCGAGCTGAACAAGCATTGCACTTCAAAATTATGTGCAGCTGTCATGACATTACTAGGAAACCCTTCACTTCTGTGCTCCAGTAAGTACAACATCACGTTCAGGTGGCCATTGCGGGCAGCTGAGTACATTGCATATGCGGTGCAACCTTCACGACAATTTTCATGTAACCATCTGACAATGTGAAGGTGCCCGTTTCCAGCCGCTTGGTCCATGGCCTGTCGGACGAATTTATCTGGGTAGTGTGCATGAAGCCACTGAATAACTTCTAAGTGACCATGTCGTGCTGCGTGGAACGGTGCCATGTGTGTACACCCTTCGCTTCGATGTTCATGCAGCCACTTGATAACATTTAAATGGCCATTAGTTGCAGCTCCGTCCATATCATATTCGCTAAACGTACTTGGTAAACGTACATGCAACCACTGTAATACATCCAAGTACCCTCCTTTAGCAGCGGAATAACTAGCGTGTAGAGCGTAATCATAGCAGGGGAAGTTTTGATAAAGCCACTCGACGACTTTGAGATGCCCACCGCTCGCAGCGAGGTGCAAAGTTCTCACAGTGCAATTTCCGTTTCGTGTTCGCTGTAGCCATTTTACAATATCCAGATTACCGCTTTGAGCTGCTCTTTCCATTGCTGTCTTCGTACATTTCACAAGATCTTTCGATTGCAACCACTCCAGCATTTCTAGATGCCCATTTCTAGCAGCTAAATTCATACTAAAGCTACTACAACTTTTGCCACTGACGGTATACAGCCACTGTGCAATGGCGAGATGTCCATTCGCAACAGCACGTTCCATTGACTTACTCCAGCGGATACAGCTGTCCGAACTTGTGTTATAAATCCACTGTGCCACTTCCAAATGTCCGTGTTCTACTGCCAATTCCAGCGCATCCGACGCGCAGTGAGTATACAAGAAGCTATCCTTGACGTAATCGACCCCTTCAAGCTTGTCCCACAACGTGTGCCAGTCCACCCCTCTCTTGTACAGCCACTTGACGACGTCAATATTCCCTTGTGTAGCAGCAATTGCCAACACATCGGTGAAATCCTTTTTCCATGGACCACGATCGTCGGAACGCTCTGTCATCCAATGAAGCACGTGCACATGACCACCCCGCACAGCTGCTTGGACCGCTTCCTTCCAATCCGGTGCTGCAATTCTGTGAAGTAAGAACTCAAGAGTGCATCGTGATGCTCCTTCCCCACAAGCAGCAGTGAAGACCTCGTGACACAGGAACGAAGTCAAGTATTCATCAATGGACCGCATGACATGGTGTAGCGTGTTAGCGGGAAGACAACGCTTCACCACAATCCGAGTAATCTTACGGTAACTCATGCGGAAAACCGGAAATGCAGGCGCTGGAATGAAAATCTCTTTTGATGTGAGTGTGATGTTGAACTGTATTGATTTGAGGGGAAAATAGTGCTTTCTTGGAAATCCCAGCGCACGGGAGATCAAGAAATTGTCTGGTATTCTCAGTCGATATATCAACGACCGGTATAATACCATTTGCAGTTTGATATTTAGAATGACCACTTTAGGTGAGTGAGACATTTCGACATATGATGGAGAAACTTCACCTCCTGCCAAGTGGCGCCAAACAATTAAGATATTTCTATTTTAGACACCACATCACGTCCAGTAAATATTTTACTCTACGTATAATTTCAGTCATAGAAGATGGTGAAGCTAGTCTGCGTGTTTGTTGGTCTGGAGGAAAGCTTGTTCTTTGTGAATATCGATGCGAATGAGTCGGTGGGTTACCTGAAGGATGCGATCAAGGAGAAGAAGCCCTGGACGGTCACTGGGGTAGCTCGCAAACTCCATCTTTTCCTTGCGAAGAAGGACAGCGCATGGCTGGACGCTACTGGCGTAACGGCCGTAGAGCTCGATGCAAATGGACAGCTGCAAGGCTTCGAGGAGATGAGGGCGACACGATGGATCCGGAACGCCATGCACTTTGGAGAGGGGTTTCACCAGGAGGATGGTCAGATCCATGTGCTGGTGGTGGTACCGAAGGATTATCTTGAATGAAGAACCCGGAGTCACGTCGTTCGGGGAAATGGGCGCATAATAGCTGAGCCTCTGCGGGAGTAAAGTAGACAGATCAACGAGATACAAGCACAACAACTTACTGACTTTATCGAGGGGGGGGGGGGGGGGCTACGGAAATACAATGAAATGTGAAATAGAACGTAAAAATACCGTATTTCAGTTAAAGGGAGCCGATCCGGGCCCATGAACAAACCAGCAATATGACACTGTTCAGGTCAGGGATCGGAAAATACCGTAGTATATTATATTGGCAAGTTGGATAGAGTAATTACTGCAGCATCAAGCTCGTCAACAATAATTAATTGCAATTATTCTTATTATTTTCTAACGAGCCTGCCACATCGAATTCACCACCGTAGGCGACGAGAAGAGCCTCGTCCCACACGTTAGCTTTGGATGTTAGGATAGGCACGAAGTTCGAAATACGCTGAGGGGATCGGTGAATGTTTCAGAAATTCTATACAATACAATGAGCGGACAACTGTTCCCATCGGTTTCCCAGTCTAATAGGAGACACATTCGTCAGCTTTCACCCAGAGAAACCATGACATTTGAAAGTTACCCGCAGGAATACTACAAGAGCAAAGTCAATATCGGCTCTATTCCTCTTTTTTTGTTATAGATTGCGCCTCCACACAAAACACTCACTTCTTCAACTGCTGCCTCTGGGATAGGAAGTCATTGGTAATTCTGTTATATAGCTGCATATCCGAATGTCAACGAGTGCACGAGCCTTGCGGTTGGGCGAAGTTATTAACGCATGCTCCGCCTGTACATAGTGTTGCAAGGTCTAATGCAAGATACCACAACTGCTGCTGTAAGTGGAAGAAATGGCACGACTTTATATCTTCCACATGCTACAGCAAGTGGCTAGACACCCATATTGGCTCCAAAGATACTACTTCAACATTCTTGGACGAGCAATTGGTCTCTGATACTTCAGTATAATTATTATTGGCACAATCTTTTATTATATTGAAAAGCTTGACGTTAGAAAATCAATAATTCTATTGTTCACAGTAAAGTCTTATTGAAATATATTACTATTATCCTATCCAGCGTTCAGTTGACTTTTTTTTTCTTCGTAAAATTTACCGATGATGTTGCACGTGGCCGCCACACGCAAATTCATCTAGTTTGAATGAGTTGTGCTCCTGTCGCGGTATGAGATTGTTACTCCGGGTACGTCAAGTGTACGTAATTTCAGGAGGGAAAACCCAATATATAGGGTACAATTAGTTTTGACAATCTTGTATCAGTAACATCAACGCTGGCAGGATTATTTTTAAGCTTTGAGTTGACTTGAGTGATTTGGACTCCTCAGTATAAACTTCTACAAAGGTTTGGGCTAGCATGACTCGCCTCCTAGAACTATGGGTACAAAATCGAGAGATCTCCAGCAACATGTTTTAGTTGGTGGAGTTGCAATGCACTAACAAAAGAAAAAAAATCTGGCAAACAGGAATGTCGCAGTACAGTTACGCCCATAGATTATGGGCCATAATTCCCAGAAATACAATATACAATATATTCGAACTGACCGTTGTCTTAACAAATTAGATACACATTCCGGCATTGACAGCGAAATAATGAGAGCAAGGCGAAAAAAATATTGCAGCTACTGCTAGCAGAAACCGTAGAATGAAGCGCTTTGAAGCCACTGCCGTGTAAAAATATAATTCACATTTGTATTATCGGGGTTGCACGTGGTGAGATCCCTTTGACCACGTTTTGGCGATGAAAACTTTTGACTTTGCTCGACAGTTTACGGTCGCAACCAACTCTATGAGGTTTTATGGCTACATTTTGCATTCTTTGTATCAATAATTCGACATCCGCTCGACGCCATTGCGTCATTACGAAGGTCTCACCCACCAGTATCGACAACCAGGGCAACTCGCTCAAAGTCTACTGGTAATATATCGTTTGAGAATTATTTATGATTGGAACGATTTAGAGGTGGAAAATATTGACACACTAAAAAGGGCGGATGTCATGGTCAACGGAGCTTAAACCGCAGGCATGTGCTCGTGTTGCCGGGTTGGTCGGGTCTATCGGCTTTCGTACATAAGTGGGAAGTATATGTAAAAAAAAAAAGAGACGAATTTCCACGTAATTCATGCAAATATGTATCGTTTCCCCACGTAATGCGCTTCACACTACCCGACCGGCTGAATGCTTGTCCAGATGGCGCTGACCAGATCAAGCTCGTCACCGCTTCTGCCAACGAAACCACCCAACTGATAGCCCTCCTTCGCAGTGTCCGTTCCATTCTTGTCCGTCCGCGTGCCGCCTTCGATAAAATTCCCCTTATTGGTGGTGAACTTGATGTACTTGACACGCGTACTGCCATCGTGATCACCCGCATGCGCCTCCATGACAGTGATGTATTCACCTTCAGTTAACGTCAGAGGGTTTTTCATGTCACCACCATCACCGCCATGGTATAATGTCCTCTCTCCCCCAAACGGTTTCACGATGGTGAGGATGACGGCATCGACGCGTTCCCCCGCACGAAGGTTGATAGACAGCACTTTTTGTCCAGACTTAATCAAGGCCGCATCTGTGAAGGGATCGCCATGTGGACCTCCGAATTCCGGACCCTCGTAAGTACCGGGAGGCAAAGGGACAAACTCACCCCATCCATTTTCTGCATATCCCCCATGTCCTCCTGCTACTGGTCGATACGCTACTCCTCCACGCCCACCTCTTCCACGCCCACCTCCTCCACGCCCACCTCTACCACGTCCACCTCCACCACGTCCACCACCTCCTCTTCCACCACCTCCTACTCCTCTTCTTTCCTCTGACTCCGCCTCACCATTTGCTATGCTGTCTCTGAGCGCCGGGTAGTCGTTTGATTCCGACCTCAACACCGTCTTGGCAGCGATTGCGACACCGTTGTTAATAGAAATCAAGGCGACCACAATAGCCAAAATGAGATGTAGCACGTGCATGTTGTTGCAATCGGTTGCTGGAACGAACGCAAATTCTCGAATGAGACAACAAATTCACTGCACCAAAGTGACGGCTCGAACTAACGCTGAGTGTGTGATGCAGTCAACCGATAGCTTTCTGGATAAGCTATCTGCGCAAAATATACGCAGGCAACACGGTGCCGTGTGGGCCCACCACTTACTACAACGAAGTATATTCTGTAAAAGCAGGGCATCTACAAATTCCCATATAATTTATTTCCGGAGACTAATCGTGGTGTAATCATTTTTTGTGTAATCAATGATCACGGTAGTGCTGGGTAAGTACGAAGTGTAACAGAGAGACCAACAGGGAATAATTCAGGAACTATTTGATGTGTGGAACTTAAATTTCGCCCAAACAAATTTCAAATGAATGCTCTTATATAGTCGCGATTTTGTATCGATGATACTAATCCACGCAGGTAAATTTATCATGATTAATAAATTCTAACAGGATGGACCAAGAACTGGCAATATACTACTTACCCCTTTTTCGAAATATTAATTGTTTTTGAGCAAATTATTAAAATATGCAAATCGAGCGTTGTACATGGGTGGCAACAACTACATTACCGTTTTAGCATGCCAATAACGACGAGGATCATACCACATCCACAAGAAAATAAAGGCGTTAGGACAACTGCGGTCTAGGCCACAAAAGATGCACTTCTGGTCAAGATCGCTTTTCTTCAAGGCGCATCAAGAGCGCGCCAATATTTCTCGTGGCATTTGGGTTGGCGAAATGTGGCCTTCGAATATCTGCAGGATGTTCTTTTGCAGAATTGCCACAAGCACTCGTAGGCAACACTTCACAGCTCCCCAATGCGCCCGCAACGAGATCACGTCGATCATGACCTGTTTTCGCAGCATAGAGACCGACCTGAGCATCACATCATTTTGTCAGCGAGAAGTTGCAACGTAAATTTGTTTACGTAATTATACGTTAATGCGGAAAGTAGGTAAGCGAATGCATAGATGCGTAGATGCAACAATCGCAACAGCAGCTAGTTCTTTACCACCACGTCAAGGTATGAGCTGGAAGGGGGGCGAGAGCTTGTTTACCGTGAGAATTCGCGGTTGTGCAGAAAACTCTTCTCAATGGATTGAACCTGACCAATATCACAAAAATCCCGAAATCGCTGAAGACTTTAAGAGGCTAAAAGTGAGCTGCATAAAAGTTCTCAATATTGGTATTGGTATGGTCTCAATAAAAATTGTCACTACCATCCAAATACACTAGTACGCTGGCATGGGATATTGGGGGTATTCAATGTAGAATTGGCAGTTTTCAAAGTCCTCAACCAGATACTCTATACAACATTGTACGGAGACCTTCCATAATATAAAAAGGATATTGCAAACGACTATTACTTAAATTGTACCAGTATAGGACACTTAAGACTAACTTCCACCGCACCCACCACTATCTCACGTAGCAGTCTCTGTCGATGAACCTTCAAAACTACATCACGAGGGTTTTACCTTTACTCTATCAAAGCTTCTACAACCTCAGTATAACAATTGTAAGCCGACGAGACTAAGTTAGAGTTGGTGATGGTTCAAAAACAATGCCCACATGTCAGAACATATCAGTAAGAAATGCAAAGCTATTCGGCTATGCTACATGTATTTAATATCGTCGAATTTTGCTTAAATGCTATTCATGTTGGTGTGCTTAATGGCAATACACTATGAAAAGCAAGAGCCTTAGCAACGAACAGCCAAACCTCTGAGATATCGTAGATTACCTTAAACGTTAGACCCGCGTACGCTCGCAGCACCGCAAGCCGTGCTACTAGCACTACTGTCAGCCGCTTGTCCATCAGCTCGTAGCTTGGACAACCGCATCTTATAGTTTATTCTACATGTTTACGGTAAGCTGTGGGTACAGCGCTCTTGGTCGCTAAAGAGGAGTACCACGTCCCCGACAACTGCAAAACAACTCCAAGCATTGAGAAATGAGCAAATGATGAAGTGGAAGATTCGAGGCAAATCCGTTGACGGTGTTACTAAGCTACTAGACTTTCGCACCAACAAGTATCTCGGCGAGAAGTTCCAGATTCTGGACGACTACGTCACGCTCGTTAAGCAATCTGATGATACCCTGTTTAGTACCTTGATTAAAAGGGTTGGTGAGGAGAACCTCGGAGGCGTTTTGTTCGGTGCAAGAGCAAATCCCGCTACGATAAAAAAGTCACTAAACTGGAGGATATTCTCATCAGTCAGTGGACACGTAAAGGTGAATTACCGGCAAACGTCCATGGATGGTTACATCTCTACAGAAGCGTGGATGACGCTTTTACACCGAATAACCTGAACAGGTTCGTGAAGTATGTCGACGACTTTAACGCGAAGAATCCCAACAAGGAAAAACCAGTGATAGATCTGTACACGCGGGCTTTTGGAGACGCTCCTGTGCTGAGTAAACTCATAGCGGCAATGGACGACTCGACTGCTAATGCGGCAGCGAAGAAGTTGCTGGTAGAGAGCTGGATCAAGAACAAACAGTCTGTTGACGATGCGCTCGCGATGCTGAATATTAATATTGGTCAATCCTCGACGATAATCAACCACAAGATTGACGCGCTAGAACAGCTCGATAACGTCAAGGGTGCAAAGCCAAGTGTTATCAAGACGCTGACTAAGACGGTTGGTGGAAATAGAATGCTGGCAAAGATTTTGGAAAGGACGGAAGCTCCAACGTTGCAGAAGAAACAGTTTATCATGTGGATAGATGATGGCGTCACACCGGGGAACTTTATGGCCAAGATATACAAGGATGCTGCAGTGGATTCTGTTGAGAAGAAGAATATTGCGACCAAGTTTACGGCGTTCTACGAGAGTCAGAAAAGCCTGATTGCTTAATGCACTCTTCGTACGATGGCATTCAGGAATGTGAGAGCACGTTCGCCGACTTACTATTACGTAGTATTTCATTGATGCATGAGATTAATGAAGTACACGAAGTTTTAGTTACGGACCCGTAGATGAGCCTATGCATTGGTATATGGAGACACGCATATTTTTTTCTGAAGCTTAACGCTTTCGTTAGCTTTTTCAGCGAGACCTGCGATCTGCACATTTTTTTTACTAGTATTTCGCACTCGTACGAACTGGTCTAACGTTAACGTTAGGGGGATTTCTGTTTTCTCTGGTGTACTCGTATTTGTACTTGGTTTTAGTATTGCAAATGTTGGGTGTACTTTTGTCCTTAACCTTCAAGTAAAATCCAATTCATGCCCAAAATCGGACTGCTTAAAGTGTAGCTGCAGCAGTTGTACACATGTTAGAGCAGGTTTGTGTGAGTAGCTTATTTTTCCGAAGAATTCGCCTTACACTCGCGATGGTTTTACAGGTGGGAGGCCAATATTCATGAATTTATCGATAAAACAGTATTTTGTGTGTGCATTCATTTCGACAGTACAATAGTATTCTGGAGGCCTTTCGCTTAATTTTATTTCGAGAAGGTAGATCTAGATTACCATGAGCTGTTGCCGAGGTACGCGAAATAATTTTCTGACAGTTGGAAACTCTTTCGACGACTTGGATAACATGAAGGCCAGTTTAAACCGCATAATCGGGTGCGGCCCTTACAAAATGAAGTAACACGTATTTGAAAGTACTCTCTACTTAATGGAGCTTGGCCTTTCCTGTTACTACGTTTTTGTGTGTATGTGTGTGGGTTTTGCTATCAGATCCTTGAAGTTAATCTTTCGCCCACATCTCCAAAACAAGATGCATTCGGTGGAGGCAGAATAATTATAGTGGGTGTAGCAGGGATTAATTCGTGCAGTAAACCGATACTATCTGAGATTTAGGTATTACTCCATCGATGTATTTCCTGCGCCTGCTTAAAGCCGCAGCATCTACCTTGTGTGTTTGATGTAGCGTCGTTTAGTAAAGTAAAACATTCGTCACCCGACCTAATACTTTGTCTTTATCTGTGTTGTCAGTCCAAACGTTTTCCTTAGGGTATTGTGGTTTGGAGGCAGTGTGTTGCGCTACACACCTCGGACAGCTTGGAAGCAAATATGTTTTTTGCTGAATCCCAAACAAAGTGAATTGAAATCTTGAATGTTGTATGATAATGTAATTTAAATAATCAATCATGATTTGGAACAGTTTAGGCAAATTGATTGCATAATGTCAGCATTCGAAAACCGCCTCTTCTTATTTACAATTGCCAATAATACCGTTCTCCATGAGCTTGCCGACCAGATTCAATATTAAACACAACTATATACCCAGCCACCACCCGTAGTCTGTTTAGGTGCATCCGCTGAACCACCATATTCATGGTTCCCCGATCTAAAGTCCAGGAAGCTGTTATTGAACCGCTCTACAGGTTCACACATGAACATAATTAAACAGAATCGTTAGATCTCCATGATTTGCATGGAGCGCCTTTCATCCCAAAATCGATTCGCGTAAAAACAGGTAAGTGATTAGGCCACGATTACATCCATAAATGAACCAATCGGGGTTTGTAGACGCCCGTCATACAAAACAAGGATTCATATGGGCTCTACCGACTTTTCGCAGATAACGTTTCGAGAAAAGCTACCGGTTATATGCATCATTCACTGGACTGGCCCTGGGTCTTCAATTTAGTAAAGTGACTTTACCGCCTCATTCGAGAACTTGCGTTCGTCCTGCCACCCATTGCATCGACATGCGCGTGCTACATCTCGCGTTGGCTTTTGTGGTTGCCCTGAGTTCTATTAACGACGGTGTCACATCCGCTTCTAAGGCTACTTTGAGTTCGGATTCAAGCGACTATCCAGCGCTCAGAGTCAGCATTGCAAGTGATAAAACTAACTCAGAGGAAAGAAGACCGATAGGAGTGTTTGGACCAGTTGGAAAAGGGAACGGAGGATATGGTAAAGGCGCACGGAAGAAAGCTGTCACTTTGCCGCCTGGTACTTACGTGGGTCCGGAATTCGGTGGATACTCTGGTAGAGAATTTACAGACGCGGCCTTCGTTAAGTCTGGACAAAAAGTGCTGTCTATCAACCTTCGTGCGGGGGAACGCGTCGATGCCGTCATCCTCACCATCGTGAAACCGTTTGGGGGAGAGAGGACATTATACCATGGCGGTGATGGTGGTGACATGAAAAACCCTCTGACGTTAACTGAAGGTGAATACATCACTGTCATGGAGGCGCATGCGGGTGATCACGATGGCAGTACGCGTGTCAAGTACATCAAGTTCACCACCAATAAGGGGAATTTTATCGAAGGCGGCACGCGGACGGACAAGAATGGAACGGACACTGCGAAGGAGGGCTATCAGTTGGGTGGTTTCGTTGGAAGAAGCGGTGACGAGCTTGATCTGGTCAGTGTAATCTGGACAAGCATTGAGCCGGTCGGGTAGAGTGAAGCGGATCAGCTTATGTAGCCATCTGAAATGCAGAGAACATGATTTTGGGAAGGTTGGTGGTAAAATGTAATCAAGATGACTGCATTCAGAAAAATGGTCTACAAGATTAGCAGTAACTGATATTATGAGTAGTCAGCCAAACATAGTTCTGCTTTGCGGGGCTCTATTGGGGACTATAAGAGAAGCCATGTATTTAATTTCGCAGTGTATTTTGCATTTTGCAGGAATTTAGCAGGCACCACAATACTATACTTTTGTAGATTATAAAAACTGGATGACATTGTAGCCGTGGAGACTGACAAAATGAAAATCATGTTGTAGTAGCATATTATGGCATATGCCCGATAATCTTTTACGTATTGTCAGCCACGCAGACATTTATTAAAGAAAATGTGCGTCTTGTCAATTACCAGTAATTTTTTACATTAATCAAACTACAGTGTGTTTTACCAATGCTTTCAAATTAGGTCATGGTGTAAAATACCCACTTGGTCATTGGATCAAATACATTGGTCACGTACATATACCTTGATCAAATAAATTCTGGTCAAACATCAACTTCGACGACTTAATGCAGCATGCCGGACAATGCAGAAGGTGATAGCTCGCGACAGCGCACCGCACCGCTCAGCGGTTACGACAAGGCACTGACAGCCGATCCAACACAGCCTCCTACCAAGTCCTCGTCAAGTTGCAGCACCGCTTATAAGATTGAACCCTCTCTCTAGGGCGGTCATCCTTGTACGTGTCAATGTATTGCGCTGGTAAATTCAAAGTTTATTATCCATTTCCGCGATTCTAACCTGTAATGGACTTTAAGCTCACTTAGCACATAGCCTTTGAAGCCACACTACAAGCCAACGTCGACCATGGCACACTCGCGTAAGAAAAAGCGGGAGCTTAGCCCAACGTCCTCACCTAAATATCGACCTTCGACACCGTCCAACACAACTGCTACTAGGTCAGCCGCGAACGATCCGTCGGTAATGCTGCCTGTGGTAGGCAGCAACACTTTGGTGCAGCCCGCATCGATTAGTGAAGCGGTTGCTAGCACTTTCCCCGTGCCATCAGGCGACAACGCGTTTGCAGCCTTTGAGGTTCCAACACTCCGCTTGCTGGAAGACTATAACTCTAGTTAGCACACATCTAGACCTTCACAACCGGCACTGCCACCACCAGCAGCCCCCTCAAATTTAGACGGAAGGACAAAGATATATTATCAAGGCTATTAGCTTACTCGCGCCAATGTAACCATACCAAGATTCTTATCGGTGCAGTTATTACAGAAAGCCAAAACTGGCTCCCGGTTGATTGATGTTCTACGCAGACACAAAGACGTACGACTTCGCCAATATGATTCCACATATTTGTTTAACCCCTGGTGGTGTCAGCGCTACAGCTGTAGCAGCCGACGACTCAGCCTGTCTGAACCTGGTTGACGAGATGAAAGAATTTGTAGACAAAATGGTGGAGGAAACAGACAATGGAGCTACGCAAATTTGGGATGAGGTCTACAATAAATTCTATTTGGAATCGAATCGTGTAGTGCGTGGGCTTTCAAAACGATAAGTGGTCTCTCGAGTTGGAAACATTAAAGCTGCTCAAAATGGCAAAGATCTACTCACTGCTAGAATCTCCGAAAATGTCTAAGGCCAAGAACGACGTCGTAATTTTTTTTTCAGTTTAGTTACACCTGGCACAACGACACCAAGGCAAAGCAGGGCAAACCAAGCTTTGAGCGTTTGCTTGGTGGGCTCATCCGGAGCTACGTAACCTCCTTCAATACGGTAGCGTGCATCTGTTTGTTGACGGAACCTTCCGGAGTGCGTCGACAGGATTTTACCAGTTTACTACTCTCATGATGTACGATCCGTTCACGGAACTGTTCGTGCCAAAAAAAATTTACGTTGGTGACTTCACAAACGCAAGAATTGTACAAGAGGTTATTTCAATGTATTGAATTTGCGGCGGGTGTCAAGCCAAATCCGAAAGATGTGGTGTGTGACTTTGAGGCAGCATTGATATTTGCTGTGCGAGATCTCTTGCTGTCGACACGCATTATTGGCTGCTTGTTCCATTTCATGCAGGCGTGTCGACGGAAAATGAAAAAAAGTATCAGCTCTCCGATAATGTAGCAGGTATTGCAATGGGGTTTGGAGTACTAGATATGCTCACTGTGATCAATCCTGAAAAACTTAGTGTGCAAGGTGTTGCCTGGGTCAAAACCAAGATCAAGCCGCGCTGTGACTCTCAAAATGTGTTTTATTCGCGTTCAAAGTGGAATCAATTTTGGAACTATTTCCACAAAACTTGGATTGATACGTATCCGCCAGAACTGTGGAATATTTATGGAGTACGACGAAAAATTGGAAATCGAACTAATAACCCTTTGGAACAATTTCACCGCGAAGTAAATGTCCAATTGAAGCGGCAACCTTTCCTCCGGCACTTTGTAAAGACGATTGAAGAAATTGGACGTCACTAGCACATTCTACGGAAGAGCATTATAACCGGGGGGTGCTGATGCTCCGAAGAGACCTGGTCTTCGATTTCCAAGAGCAGCTACGCTCCCCAACATCAGCGACATCGAAGACTCTGAGAGCGAAGAGCGAAGATGATAGTGGCGGTGTCAGTGCTGACGAGGAGGACCCCCACTTGTCGGATGAAGAATTGGAACTTGTCTTCGACTACTGCGCTGAGCAAGAAGAGGTCTTGTTATTCTTTATACACGTTGAGCTAGATTTGCAATTCTAAGAATGGTTTCAGTGCATTCAGCTTTACTAATAAATGGACACTTTGCATCTGTTTATATCCACATGTGATCAAACGCTTTTGGTCACATGACCAAATGGCCGTGACCTAATCTGTTTCTGACCTAAAATAAAGGCTATCTCAATATAGCGCTGTAGTACAAGACTATGAAAGCGGGATCGTATCCGGTTAATGTATCGAAAACGACAACTACAACAACAACAATGCAGGCCAGCCCCATACAAAACAATCAGACAAAGCCGTGTTTACCACGGAGAAGCTCCGCTATTACAATACTTAAGTAGGACGGTTCTTTCATGATTGGCTTTTCCATACTCGTTTTGTATAATTCATGCGGTCCTGTATACCGTTCGACGCTTTGTTCTAACAGTAAATAAGCTACCATACTGTGCGAGTCGCATTGCGACCACAATATTGATATTGTGGTAAGGGAAACCACCAGTTGAGGGCCGCCGACAGGTTGATCATTTCACAGGCCCATAAGTTGAGAACGGCTAGCGCAAAATCAAAAAGCTTTGCAGGTCTGGAAAGCTGACAATCTCTGCAATTTTTTGATAATTTTCTCATCTCTTAACCAGTAAAAATGAGAGAATAATCTGGTGCTGAATTTGATGCCTCAAATTCAGTCTCGTTCAGTTAAGGGCCGCGTTTAATCTTGATATTAGTAGCAAAACGATAGCTAGTGGCGAGGTTTGCGAGTCTGACCCACAGCGTTTAGGTTTACCATGAAACTCCATAATCTTCGACCTCCACGAATTAGCATAGTGTACTTATTCATACAGATATCACCGTAGAGGTACTTCATATGTCAATCGAGACACATTGCGTAACGTTGTTAGCTGCTGCTATGGCAACAACTACAGACTTCGAAGCATTTCTATGGCAGCTACATGTTGAGGGAATACAAAAAGGTATATCTTTGTATGCTTCGAATGCATAATATTGTAGATAGAAATGCGAGAAACAAGTACTTAAGTACTGGAGAGTGAGAAAAGATGAGCGAACTCGTACGAAACATTCGTGCTGTAGCCAGCTCTTGTCTTGCCGAGGGCCCAGCCAAAGAAATCAGCGCGTGGCTGCCAAGGCAGCTCGCGTAACCACGTCGTTAGGGAGGGCGCTGTGTATTTCAATGCATGCATGTGCGTGATCAGTGCTATGCGCAGTGTTCGTTGGTGAGCCATGGCGCATTGCTGGGATGCGAGCTCTTTTTGACACCAACAGTTTTGTGTGTGCTCAACACCAAATCCACAGATATAGATTGGAAGGTTTCGACGTATTTAGTGTTGATTTACCAATACAAGATTGGTATTTGAAACGAGATGATGTCATTGGTTAAATTTTACGTCGGCCCTTAACTGATCAACTGTTTTTTTCGCTTAACCTAAGCATCATCTGTGCTAAGATGTATGCTGAAGAATGTTCGGGCGACATTCAAGAAGATTAAAATTACTTTAGCATGTCGTATGTTACCACGATGTTACGCGTGGCCGCCACAAGCAATGTTCACCTGGGTGGCATCACTTGTACAAAGAATATCAGATATACATCACCAAACGACTTAATTAAAGTAAAGGTCTCGTATTTGATACAAGCTAAAATGACACGTTGTGCAGTGTCAGGAGAGAAGACCCACTACATTGGGTACGACAATCCAATGTAGATCTTATATAACAGGTGTATCAAGTGCTGAAGTAAGTTTACTTAAGTTTTGAGCTGACAACATTAGTTTGGGCTATGAGTATAAGAAGTTAGAGAAGTTTTGGTCAGAATGACAAAACTCTGGATATAAAATCCAGAGAATAGACAGAACCCATAAATTTATTTTCTTTCCTAAGTCAATGCGATCATGTATGATTTTCCCTCCGTAGCTGGATACCTCGTAAAAATCCATGCGAATGTGACATAATAAAGATTGATTCACTTGATATTTGTATTTCATGAAAGGGTGTGTAAAACACAACACACGGACATGGAAATTAATCCCAGTTGGGCTGTACGTTTACTGCGTACTGAAGCACTACCAGTAAACTACCCGAATATTAATAGCCCATGATGAGTATAATTGATTATCCACGAATAGTATCGGCAAATAGATCAATCGGAAATTTGTTGATGCGCTGCTTTTACAGAATATACTTCGTTGTGGTAAGTGGTGGGCCCACACGGCACCGTGTTGCCTGCGTATATTTTGCGCAGATAGCTTATCCAGAAAGCTATCGGTTGACTGCATCACACACTCA